CACACACACACACACACACACACACACACACGCACACACACACACACACACACACATATATATATATATATAGTGCATGCATACCTGAACAGGCTGCGTTTGTAATATCTTTTGTTATTGCCATAGCCTTGCTGCAAGTTTAACAGTTATTACTAGAACAGTACGTGGTGTATTTATGAGTGGAAATATTGCGCGTGGTCATGTACAAGGGCAAACGCGGTGATCGCCAGGTAGGCCTATAAGTTTTATAAACTTCTAATGTAAATAAGAAAAATATTATGTTTACTTGAAATATATTTCCTTGTGACATTAATAAAATTATGCTTGGCATACAAAAATGCATTGAATGATATATATATATATATGTATATATATTAATTTTTGAATAATGATAGGCACAAATTGCCGTAACCCCCTATAAATTGCGCACATTTTATTTGTAACATACTTTATCACAAGATGGCGCTGTAGCCGATGTTTGTCGCAGGTTGCAGACGTACATGAATTTTCACCGATCCACACAAATCGGAGTTGATTCCATCTTCGTTATGTTTCTCCAGGCTGTTGAATTCTGTTTTCAACCAGCATACAATAGTGGTGAAAATACACCTTACCGGTATAAAAGTAAGTTAATGCATACCGAGACAAAAATCAAAATGTCGCAGCGAGTATAGTAGTACTAGTAGTACTGACACTGACAGTCACTACTGACTACTGTACTGACTACTGACAGTACTGTCACTACTAGCTCTAGTAGTACTAGTACTATAGCCCGCTTACATTAACTGCCGCTGGCCAGCTGCAACTGTACGCGGGCTATAGTACTAGAGCTATGTCACTACTTACTACTGAGTACTGGCTACTGCTGAGACTGAGGGTCTATGACTATGTCCCCCAGGCCAGGGTACTGCCGGAACGTACCCTGGTACTATCTAATATGCCGGACCGTACCTCGCCTACTCCACTAACAAGTCTAGGGAGTCGCCTACGCCTACTCCATAACCCTAACCTTAACCATATCAGATAGTTACCAGGGTACGTTCCGGTATACCGGACCGTACCCAGGGTACGTTCCGGCAGTACCCTGGGGGACATAGACCCTATATGACTATGAGCAGTAGTACTACTACTACTAGTAGGCCTACTACTACTACTACTACTCAGTAGCAAACCTTGCTCAGTAGTACTAGTAGTAGTCCGTCACGGCACACAGAGAATATAATCATAATATCAGGAGTGTATATTATATAGATCTATATTCTATATCTATATTCTGTATTATACACTTATCTGATAATATACACATATCATATATATGCTCTATACACATTCAGTAACACATCAGTGATCACTATCACTCGGTCTGCGACCTTGGCTTGGGGGCGACCCGATCATGCAGGCTCGATCATCTTGAGGCTAATAGATTCAGGCATAACGAATACCATGAACAGGCTGGTTGTATCATGTCTCTGATGTCATCAGTAAATGTCTGAGGCCACGGCTCACTGCACACGTACGTGAGCAAGCCACACCCTCTGATAGAGCTCTCCCTTACCTTTATATAAATTATATCATGGAGAATAAGCGTGTACAGAGGTGGCACCTGGTGTTAGCCATTGAATAATACTGAAAATGAAAAATCAATGAAATTTCGCATTAAACCTTGAGTGTATTCTTAATAAGAAAGTCTTTCCGTTTTGATATTTTGATCTTTAATTTCATATTCAATTGTGGATCTCACCACATCAGCTCATAGTACCTTGTCAAGAAAGTCCTGTCTGGCTGTAACATAACTATTAATTCTCATAAACACGACGTCACTGTTTAACTTATAATGACATACTCAGGAGTGAATAATAGAGATTATATTATTCACTCCTGATATAATCCATGCCCTGTACCCAGTCAATGGCCACACAGCAGATTGATGACAAAAAGATTTTGATATGCACAAAAATGTGTTCCTATAATAATTTGCAGAACCCGAAATTTTGCCTAAAATCTAATCTTCTCATGATGTCTTTGATAACAAAATAATTAACATAATAATTACTAGAATACCTATATATTCAACTTTGCAATGTATATATCACTACTTTCAAGGTTGTGCTCATCACATATATATATGACAACGTACTAAGTCGTGCCATCTAGTTAAGTTTTCAGGTACACTACTAAAGAGTTAGTATTACTTAGAATATATCTATAAAATATTCTACGAATATGTTTCATGGTAAAACTACTTTATAATATACTGTTACTAATAGAGAGTTTACTGAGGATACAAATAACCTTTCATTCTGTTCATTCAGCACTGTCCCTGTAAATACAGCACAATTAGAACGAAGAACAGACAGCTCCCCTTTGCAATAATGGGAAATATATAAACCATAAAAAATGTGATATAAATATCTAGATTTCAATATATACCTCACGTGTTTACGTTTGGATGTGAAACATTGGTAGACATGCACAAGCGCATGAAATGTGCGCAGCACTGCAAGATGAGAGGCTGCGTTATCACTGCTACCCTAATTCACAATCAATAATAAGCGTAGTGATACAATGATAGTATAGTCGTAGTAGCTGGTTTCAGTGGCAGATGGGAGGCATAGCCTTAGGACAAAGGTAAAATATGCAGCTGTGCAAAGGATGCGCAGTCCTGGTTTCTGGTTCATAGTTGCGGGCGGAACGGGGATGACAGAAGGCATCTGAGGTGGATGTTGGAAACAGGCGAGCACGAGAGAAGGTACCGAAGGTTCTAGACAAGTAATTACTTACCAGAGCTGCTAACACAGTGTAAGTGTTTCATATTTGTTGACCATAAATTCATAATTCAAATCTTGATAATTTGTATTGTTGATTTGATTACTTGTTGAACACGTATATGTGCCTTGTGCAAAACATGTTAATTCATACCATATTAGTAGCGTGGTATGGAATTAACTTTACATATATACAGTGTTTAGAATCATAAATGTTTAAATGATAAGATTTTAATTTATAGTATATATATTTATAATAAAAATTGAAGTGCATACACACAGTAACCTGAATTACGGCCACTAAGCAGCTAGGAATTGCGGTATTGATTTGTCCTATTATTACGATCTGAGGCTAGTGCATTGTAATATCACACTGGGATTGAAACATCATTTGCAAGAGGCTAGATAGGCTAACGCAGGTTTCATATCGTGGCTGTACCTACATTGAATATGTATATACATGTGTATATATGATATATATATATATATATATATATATATATATATATATATATATATATATATATATACGCACACACACACATATATATATATATACATAAATATATTCACGTGGTCTTTACATTATGTGATGATAATTGTAATACGCGATAACCCGCACTTGTGGTACTCAAACTACCTAAACCTATCTGCAACGTTGCGCGCATTTCTACAATCTGACTCTAGGAGACGGCTGTGTGCAGGCACGGGGTACGAAATGTGAGCATTATCTATGCCTTTGCATACACATGGCTGAAGCGAAAACTAACAACATGTCTGTATGAACTAGTTAATGCGGATCCAGATACTGAATGGGAAGATGGTCAGTGAGATAGCATCACCTGCGGAGCTAAGAGAGCTAGTGGATGCCAAGCTACGTGAGTTGATGGTGAAACACAACGTGGAACGGGCTAACAACTTACTAAAACACCAGGCTATGCACAGGGACACACTGCGTAGACAGAGGTACGGTGTTATATATTTATTCACTGCATTGTTGTATTTGTCGCATAGGCTTTCTTGCTGTCGCATCCCTACATGCAGTTTCTCTCTCTATCCTCCGCTCTCTCTCCCTCCATTCTCGCTCTCTTTCTCTCTCCCCCCTTCTCACCCTCATTCTCCTTCTGTATGTCTGACTCTCTTTCCCACTCTTTTTCTCTCCCTTCATCCATCCCTCAAAGTCTCCCTATCTCCTCCCTCTTACCCCTTCTCTCCCTCTCTCCAACATCTCTCTCTATAGATTGCACCATAGCTCTCTCCACTCTCTCCTCCGTCTCTCGCTCTCTCTCTCTCTCACTCTCGTTCTCTCCCCGTCTCTCTCTCTCCATTCCCTTCTCGTTCTTACGATATGGCAGCGATTGGCCAAGAAGAAATATCCATGGCAACAGTGCAAAGAAGATATATGATCAGAAACATGGATCAACATTTAGAGACCGTTTGTCAGTGTCTAAAGCAACGTGTATGAAACTGTTTTAGGAACAATAAATTTGACGTATAAATGCAGGATATTTATGAAATGAAAGCGTCAATTAATGAATCAAAGAAAAATGACGTGTATAGTAATAAGAGTGTAGTACATGTGATTTTTGAATCATTTATCTCACATATATGGTTATCCAAGTAGTTTTCCATGTGCCAAACGCAATACGCTATAATACCTAGGGGCACATACAGGAGTAGCATATATGACCAAGTTCAGGTAGGTGTACAGCAGCACGCATCATGCAGGTGAGCCTGTTCTGCCACATTTGTAGCGATCAATACTGATCCTCAGGAGGTGCACCTAATTGTAACTGCAAGCGCTGCGTCGTCGAGATTCCGGCTTGCCACACCAATATTGGTATAGGCTGCCTCTTACCTAACTAATTAACGCTAGCGGCTATACTCAGAGAGAATCCTGTAGGGTTTTGTACATACAGGTATATATTCCCATCGGCAGTTATAACGTTTCTCACTGCCATATGTGCTGGCGCAAAGCAACAGCGATAATACATTGAATGTGTCGTGTAATGATGGTACGATCTATTCTCCCCCATTGAAATCAATATGAATGAGTACAAATTAACGAGGTCAAGGTAAAGTATATAGTCTTCGCGCTGTAGATTTGTCATCATATATCTTCTATATATTATAATGTTTGTTGTTGTTATTTTACCCATACAGGGAGCTTGAAGTTGTGGAGCAGCAGAAGGAAAGGGAAGAAGCACGCAACGTAGAAGTGATTCTCGAAGAGAGAAAGCGTCGGATACAAGATGCAGCCGAGCGATTTCTAAGAAAGCCGATCAAGCAGCTTGGGCTGTCTTCAAATAAGTCTCTCCAGAAACACAGCAGGGGTCGAGGACATACAGGCACGTATATCTACATTAGTCCTAATATTAGCTTGTACATGTATATGCGTTGCTTGAAACTCTGAGAGGTCTGTATACTGTAACTGTGGTGTGTTGAGAGGTGACACTATGAGAAGTGAGAAGTACATGCAGATATTAAACACATCTAGAGGTCATGGTGATCGGGTAAATGAGAGTTGTCGCTGACAAATTTCCATTGCTAGTTGCTGCACTATGTATAGTTAGTATTAGTTACTATGAAAAGAATTTCGGACAATGTTGCAAGACACGAGTATTTGTATGAGCATGGAAGCAACCAATGCTATCTACATTCATAATGTAACAATATGACCAAATAGAATAATTTTTTTAATTGTTATGCTGCACTTATGCTGAGAGGGTCTATGTCCCCTGGGGTACTGCCGGAACGTACCCTGGTACTATCTAATATGCCGGACCGTACCTCGCCTACTCCACTAACGAGTCTAGGGAGTAGCCTACGCCTACTCCCTAACCCTAATCCTAACCCTAACCATATCAAATAGTGACCAGGGTACGTTCCGGCAGTACCCTGGGGGACATGTACCCTATGAGCTGCACTTATAGCACACATACTCCTGGCTTGATATAATTTTTTATAATGAGATGAAAGCTCCCGCAATTAACTAAGACACCATGTATATTTGCAAGCTACACAAATGCTAAAGTATTGCAGAAGGATGAAATGCGTATACTCTTCACATTTGTAGAGTTAGATAGATCAATGAAAAAATGTGTTGGCCTTTCAGAAGGAAAGAAGACAGCCGTAAAGGAAACCCACGACCAATGCCAGGATTCCAAGGTCACATGGGAGTTTGCTTCAGGGGAAACGCACTCGAATAAGAACAATGACAGTGCCTGCATTGATGGAATAAAGCAGACAGGTGGTGGCTTTCCCAATGTGTTACAGCCAGCGAGTAGCACTGTATCTGGTGAACAAGTTACAAGCACAGTCAGCGGACAGTCTCACTCTTCGGAAGTGTCTGGACTTGACGAGAAATGGCAGCCGGATGGGAAAGAACGTAGAGAGAAGAAGAGACACAGGGGCAAAGCAAGACAAGTCATATCGAGCAGTGGAGGTAGCCACGAGAACCTCCAAGAGGACAATGCTCCCGCCAAATCTACGAGGAGGGCCAGAACTTCTGCATTGCTAGCAGATGCCCGCATGCTTCAACGCTCACACAGTGAGGAAAAACGCCACCTAGAGGTTGTGACGGGCAACTTTGACAGGAGTGTCTCCCTTCAGGAATGTCACTTAGAGACAACAACCCCTCCACGTCTAAAGGGCAGTGAAGGGTCACGGACACAGTCACAGCATAGAAAAACAACATTGCAGAGACATAGTGACAGTGAAGGGTCACGGACACAGTCACCGCATAGGAAAACAACATTGCAGAGACATAGTGACAGTGAAGGGTCACGGACACAGTCACAGCATAGAAAAACAACATTGCAGAAACATAGTGACAGTGAAGGGTCACGGACACAGTCACCGCATAGGAAAACAACATTGCAGAGACATAGTGACAGTGAAGGGTCACGGACACAGTCACAGCATAGAAAAACAACATTGCAGAGACATAGTGACAGTGAAGGGTCACGGACACAGTCACAGCCTGGGAAAACAAAATTGCAGAGACATAGTGACAGTGAAGGGTCACGGACACAGTCACAGCCTGGGAAAACAACGTTGCAGAGACATAGTGACAGTGAAGGGTCAAGGACACAGTCACAGCACGAGAAAGCGATTGTACAGAGATCTAATGAGGCTGGAGACTCACAAATGCAGTCACAACCTGGTACAACAGCATTGCAGAGGCATAGCAACACTGAAGACTCACAGATTCAGTCGGAGCATGGGACAACAACCACGCAGAGACATGGCAATATCAACTCTGATAAGCGTTGTGAGCGTGCGAGACGCAGATTAAGCAAGAAGCTGAAGCCTACACAATCGACCGAACATGCGAATCACGCAGTTGGTGGGATCGCTTGCCGGCAAACCTCTACACCACGGAGCGATGCCGAACTCTTATTCAGGCATGAGCACAGAGAGCACGAGGGAAAGCAAGCGAGAGAGCAGGAGGGTGACGAGACTGCAGAGAGGGCTGCTTGGCACGCTTGCAAGGAAAATGGGACCGTGTGCATCGACGTGGATGATGTGTTCGAGCGACTGTACAAAAATACGCCAAGGCTGCACTCAGAGTCGTCGAAACTGCAGAGATCACCAACAGCCAGCAGCGCGACAACGTGCGCACTGATGTTAGACATGAACGATCAACATCCCAACGGCAGCGTTGAGAAGGCGCATAAAAATGTTGCCAGGAAAAATGACAGAAACAAAGAAGTAATGGGCGGTCATGAGGTTCAGTCTATTATAGGACAAAGTGAGGTGCTACTACCTGTAGAGAAACGCTGTGCCCTGCAAGAGGAGGTAGCCGAATTAGCTCATTCAGGAAGACAACAGCTGCAACCCAAAGTCTCTACCAGGCTGCAGCATGGTGCTCCAAAACATGCGACAAATACAAAAGAAAAGAAAATGGCCTCGGCTGCCGACACCATGGACGCCGATGTTCTATCTTCAACGTTTGTTAAAGAAGGTCGTGGTGTTAGCTATCTTCAAGCAGCAAGTAGTGACTCCTTACCAGGTAACCGGACAAGAGAGCCCTTAGCACAGGTTGAGCAGCGTACCCGAGTGAGAGGACATGTAATGAAAAGCAAAAGTTTGTCACCGAGAAAGAAGCCGTCAACGGATAATCTAATCGGTGACGAACGTCACCGTGCGAGGGCGCCACATGAAGCACATGTACAGAATCACCAACACCAACTAGCGGGCAAACCACACGGATCCGATATACAGCACCCACAGCACCAGCATGTGGCCAAACCACACGGCTCTGATATACAGCACCCTCAGCACCAGCATGTGGCCAAACCACACGGCTCTGATATACAGCACCCACAGCACCAGCATGTGGCCAAACCACACGGCTCTGATATACAGCACCCACAGCACCAGCATGTGGCCAAACCACACGGATCTGACGTACAGCACCAACAACGTTTCCTGAGAGAGGAGGCAGATGCACAGCTTCAGCACCGCCACGGAGCAGGGGCAGTCCCGCAGGCATCGGAGTACCAGCATCAGGAGAGCCATCATGACCTGATCGACCCGGCTGCCGCTAGAACAGACCAGCCGCGTTTGCCTGCATCGACTCCAGGCCAAAACATCCAGGCCGCCAGCAATTCAGAGAGCAGACTGTTGTCGCTGTTCCAAGACAACGTCACGCACGAGGTACCGCCGAGGGCGATGGTGCGCAGGGATGCTAAGTCGGCCAGAAAGAAACGTCAAAGCAAGCTGGATGCAAAGCGAAGAGGAAGCGTGGATAGCCTGGACAGCCTCGACAGCCTCGTGGCTGGTCGGGCGTCACCGACGATGGCGAAACACGCGGCTCGCGAGAGCACGTACGGACGCAAGTACGCCGGAATCGTACTGAGACGGCGACCCGCAAGCAGCCCACGAAAGCCCAAGAGACATCGCCAAACGATCGCAAACTCTCCAAGAGCACAGCTGAGGCCGACGGCAGCCGAGCCAGCGAGGGTCATAGCCGCGCAGCCGCAGCGTGCAGACGCGAGGCCAGAGAGAGTGACGTCGGCGCCGGCGGTGACCTTCCGCGCAGACGCGGCCGACACCAGCTTCGACGCGCGGATGGCGGCGACGAGCACGCCGCGGCGCCCTCTGGCGATCGCGCACCGCAACAGTATCGAGGTGATGCGCGGCCGGCTGAGCAGAGCGAGCTCCGCGGTGGCGGCCGGCAAGAAGACGGTCACGTTCGACGAGCCGCCGCGCGCGCAAACGTCGCAGGCTGTCTCGTCCTCGCAGTGCAGCCCCGATAACATGCTGCAGCCTCCATCGTCCGCTCGTTCGCAGCACAGCCCGGATAAGACGCCGACGGAAGACGAAATAGAGGTGCTCTGCCGAAACGTGAAGCAATGCTTGAGTCAGGAGGGCCACGCATGCGGCAGAGCGGCACGCAGGCTGAGCAGCGGCGGCGCTAGCAGCAGCAGCTGCAAGACGACAAGAAAGCGGCACAACGCAGAGGCTAGAAGCGAACAGGACGACGGGGCTGGCTCTAACACGACGTGCAGTAAAGCATTCTCAGCTACGCTGCGGGCAAACGCCGGTGGTGTGAAGAGGCTAGACGTGGTAAAAGCTGTAAACGCTCGTCAAGTTAGTACGGAACACCTCTCGGCTACACCCCCTGTTGCGGTGACGACACTACCAAGCGTAGTGCCTCATAATAGTGAAGGAAAATCACTGTTGACTAACTGGCAAGAGTTGAATACTCAAAAGTTGGGCAGTTGCAGCGGTTCATCAACAGTGATGACTCAAGTGGATAAGCACACTATAGGGTGCGTATAATGCATTAGCATTGTGGAGTAAACTAATGTGATGTACACTCGTGCATCTGTTTATACATCTATCCATCCATCCGCCCACATCTATCCCATCCGTCCATCTTCCTGTCCATTGATCTTTTTATTTTACTCTCACTACCCTCGTTTATCTGTCTACATGTCTGTGTGTCTGTGTGTGTGTGTGTGTGTCTGTCTGCGTGCCTGCCTGCCTGTCTGCCTGCCCGCCTGCTTGCCTGCCTGTCTCTGTCCTCTATCCCCCTCCCTCTCTCTCTCAGCCTCTCTGTGTGTATGTGTGTGCGTGCGTGCGTGCGTGCGTGCGCATGCATGTAAGCACCCATGTATGTTTGTATGTATACGTATATATGTATATACCTAGTCAGTAGAATAAAGGTGGTGGCAAAAAATCCCGCTATGTCACCAGTATAGAGATTTAGAATATAAAAGATTGAATTACCTGATGTATATTTATTGCAAAGAGCTAAATAAATACGAACTTAACAATGAATTTATATCACTTTATTTGATATTGCTTTATATATATATATATATATATATACATCATATATATTTCATAATGGGGTGAAAACAACAAACATTGTTGACCAAGCTATCTCACCTTCATTGCTTATGAACTATATAAATATACGACTGAATGCTTGTGCATTTCCTTCGATTTTAAACTTTTATCACATTGCAATATGCAGGACATTACCTAAAATGACGCGGAGAGAAAAGACCCATAGGACGTCTGTTCGAGTCAATTCGCCAAGAACAGTGAGACCGGGTTACGCACCAATGTTCAAGAGCAAAGATACAGCATCCAACCGGTCTACAGTTAAAGCAGCGCTGCAAGGCAGACCCACAGCTGAGGCATTGCCACAAGGCAAACCTACAGCTGAGGCAGCGCTGCAAGGCAGACCTATGGCTGAGGCAGCGCTGCAAGGCAGACCCACAGCTGAGGCAGCGCTGCAAGGCAGACCTATGGCTGAGGCAGCGCTGCAAGGCAGACCTATGGCCGAGGCAGCGCCGCAAAGCAAACCTAGAGCTGAGGCAGCACTGCAAGGCAGACCCATGGCTGAGGTACCACTGCATGGCAAGCCCACACACGAGGCACGACTGCGCGTTGCACCCGTTGTTACAATACCTTTGCCCGTGCATCCCATCACTGCTGGACCGCTGCTTGCCTGGCCTGTAGCTGGAGAAACTGCTATGAGTAAGTGAGAGTCTCATGTCACAAATGTTGGGTGCTTGCGTCGATGTGGGATTAACCCTGTGGCCGTTTAACTAAACACTACGATTGGCTACCCTAACATTTACTTATGACGATATGTTATCAGGAGTGAATAATAGAGATTCTATTATCTCTCTATTAATCATGCACTCCTGATATTATATATATATATTTAATGATATATATATATTATATTATAACGAGTATGCTAAAAGTTGACACGACTGCAACATTGTCCGCTAGTAACCAACGCTTGATAGTTGGTGACAGTAACAAGTGTGCGACAGTTACGAGCTTGTGATACTACTAACAGGCGTGCAAGGGGCGGGGGAGCCCAACGACAGCCTGGAGGCATTCATGACCGCAGAGATGCTGAGTGAAGATTCCATCCTGACGGAGAAACAGCTGGAGGGTAACATTAGCACACGCAGGGAGAAAAGCGCCCCGGCAATAGGGAGTGCACGTACAGATATTGGTAGGATGTGTTCTCTGCAGTGTCGAATTGTGAAATGACACCTTCACTCAGAGATGAAGCGGAATCAGTTACAATGTTCAGTGGTGACAGAAATCAAAATGCATGTCTATTCGATTGTACTAGAGTTAAGATGTAACTGCAATAACAGTAGGCCACGAGTTACGAGTTACATTGTTGTTACACTACAGTATTACATTTTTCCTCATTTTTATACTTTTGTCGAACTACTCGTTTAACCGTGAAATTGCCAAACTAACAAGGTTAGTTTACCATGACGACGGCTGGTAATTCATTTAACACTGTCTTTATGCATCGTTTAATTTCTATTTAGATATGACTGTGCAGGAGAACAACATTCTAAAGTCTATTGAGGGTCTTGACAACAGACTTGCATGTACGTTACAAGCAGTTATTACTGTCGAAAACAGAGAATGCAGACATGAATGTTTATGATTACAATAATGATCACTTATAACATTACAACCATTACTTAAGTACTTTCCATATGTGGCCTTATTTCATACATTTCAGATATTCAAAAGCAATACAGTAGTGTACAAGAGAGTAACGTGAAAAAGGTAAAAGAAATATTATGCAAACACCCTTCCTCCATTTTATAGTTACATAACTACCCCAAGTGATTTATTGCTTACAGTTCCAATATGGTAACGGTTTTTTAGCACGTAGTATTGCACCATTTTAACTATTTATCTGGAAACCTGGAAATACCAATTAAAATGGTAAAATTCGGAATTTTAAGATTTAAAACTGGGGATCAAGATTTTATTTAAGTTTTAACTTGGTAATGCCACATTTTTTACATGGGACATTGGGAATGGACCCACGATTCCTCTTTTTAGTAACACCATGTGCCTAGAATGATGCCCATGCAGCAATCAGATATTCTGCAACTACAAACATAAATCACATTTAGCTATACTAATGCAAATGTATGTGCAAAGCCTATATAATTCACTTAATTTGATTGTTTTAAATACTCATGTATGATTTGACCACTTACTATATACAGGTGCCTGTTATACCACACCCTCCGTCATCACATCGCCACAGCAACAGTCCAGCAAGACAACGTTATGGAAACCCACGTCACAGGAGGATAGTATCGGGGCACTCAACAACTGCACAGCAGAAGCACCAGGCAACTTAACCAGATGGCACAAATTGATTTTGTCTGCTAATGCCAACATTTGGATCAAGGATCAGTATAAAACATCTGTCACAAGAGCTAAGAAAAAAAGATGCAATAAGATAATTGTGTTGCAAACTACACGAGGGTGGTGCCAAGTCGACCATCCTTCTTATTAGTTTTTAGGTTGCTAAAATGTCAGGGTCACTAGAAATTGTTAGTGTCGGTCGGGTACCAGAACATGCTTATAGTTTCACTGGGCAGAGCCACTTTCATAAAAATGTAATTGCATTTCGGATATTTTTCTCTAAATTATATTATGTGCATTCAAACAGTTCACATTTTTGGTCATCACAGGTGTTTTTTTACTAGGATTCCTTAAGAACAAGCCGTTTTAGTAACAAGTAAACATATCATTCAAAAGCCAGCTATTTGTATACAAACTAAATATTAAATAATCAATTATACCTTGTTAGACATGACTTAATTCTTTACCCTGGAAGAAAACATGAGTATTTGTAAATATTTTTTTATAGTAACACCCTAGAAGTATTGGTAAAGTATAATAGTATAACAGCCAGGATATTTGTTATATATGAACTTCCAAGTCTTGTAAAGTTGTTCTATTTAATTCATCTTGGTAATCAGAATAAATTTTAATTCCATTTATTTATTTTGATATTAGATATTGTAATTGATGTCTATGTACAATTGATAGGGTTCATATTCCACTGTCCATTGCTAAATCACATTCATGCAATGCACATATCGTGTTGTGGGAATGGCTTGACAAAAGGTTATACTTATTGACAAAGGTTATACTTATTAACAATCACATTCTCTACAATGAGAAAGTTGACGTGTGATTGTAGGGTGGGTAGCCAATATTAGTAGAATTTTAATATTTGCAAAAATACAATTATTTGGTTAATGCTGTATAACTTTACATTAATAAAATATCTCATTTGATTGTCCTCCAATAGAATTAACTTTTTCCCGCATTTATAACCTAAAAAGACGACAGAATTGTATTCAACGCTCACCTTATAATTTAATAAACTGATGACAAATAAAACTGCACAAAAGCAGGAGTTTGACAAAAAAGCACAAGAACACCAATAGGTAATAATATTACACTAATGATTTTGTGCAACAAAAATTCACCATTAAAACTTGCCTGTTTTTAAGCATGTATGAGAGCTACAATAAACAATCACTGCATACCTCGTATGAAATAATACCTATAGGTTCGAGGTGTTACCTAAATAGATGCAGCATAATTGAACAATGTATCACAACACAAAGGTTCACACAGTCCTAGAATAAACTAACAGTGAAAGCTCGAGCAACACACTCTAGCCTTCATAATCATGTAAAATAACATTGCTTTATACATTTACTTATACATTTTTACAAGGGCTCTGATTTTTCAAAATCAGCAAACAAACAGCACTGTACTCTAGCAGCTTAATTCAACACCTGCGTACGATACTGGTAATAATATACTTGTAACAGGTGCTCACTCAACATCCAGTTAGACCGAAACACCAGTAACAACAACAATAATAAACAACTAAAAATATTAATCGCGCTTGCTTACGCGCCGCGGGGGTAAGGGTGAGCAGGTTTGAATAATAACACTGGTCGCACCTATGTCAGATAAAGTTGTTGGACGTCAGAGTACCTATGCAGTTTCCGATGCATCACCTTTGAAATAGAACACTTCACTCGTTGATTAACAGCACAGGTGTGAAATCCATGTGAGCAGCAACTACGACCGAATGAGCTACAGTCAAGGCCGTACGCAGGAAATTTTCTGTAGGGGGGCAAAGGTACTCCCTACCCCCTTGCCAGGTATACTCCTTGCCAGGTATACCTCCCTACCCCCTTGCACAGGTATACCCCCTGTGCCCTAAAGTTTCGCAATTTCACATTTCTTTATTTAAAGTGTAATATTTCTTTGATGATTTAAGATAACCTTTTGTCACATTTCTATTTTATTTCTAAAAGTGTACAGTATTTGTCCCATTAAAAAGCATACTCTGAAAATCTCTAGGGGGGGGGGCAACTGCCCCTGCTGCCCCCCTGCTGCGTACGGCCCTGGCTACAGTAATTCGTCGCGTGTTTTACGTCCATCGTGTGTCTGCCTCTAATTGGCTGCTATCTACATACGTTGTCTCAGCTTGCCATCAGGGGAGATCCTTGAAGGCTGGTTTTGGAAAGAATATGCAGCTATTGTACGCTCTGTCTAAGGGTAGTGCTGAAAAATATAAACATCGCGTGCATGAGGGTGTATGCTAAGTGACACGAGTATACTTCTTTCACTTCAGCATAACATTGAAACATCGCTGCAAGGTGCAAATCAGAAATCAATCAATAAGAAAACTGATTGATACACTGAGACAGAATTTTTTTATCATGTTAGAAGGGGTGCTGGTCCTGTTGTCACATACCTGTTAGTGTATCCATATGAGGAATGACCAGAGGAGTATTGTCTCGTAGAACCTGATGCCAGAACGTGTTTGTTACTTGGCCGCTGATTGGACAGTTGTCATAAAAAAAGGAGCCCCATTGCTTGGAAGAAAGAAGGTTCCTGTCCTCCTGAGATATGTGCCTCTGTGGTCACATGAAAAAAACTGTATAATTAGACAATGGATATATGGAGAATCAGGCAGTTATGCTGTTGCTGGCAACATTCAGCGTCTGCTGGGGGCTGTGCAATCCTTGTTACATTTACTTTATGAAGGCAGAGTATAGAAGCAATCATAAATGCACACTTAAAAGATCATTAAAATTTTTGCTGTAACAAAGGTTTAGCGGCACACTGATAGCTCATAGATTAGCCGTAAGAGGCTTGGTCTTTACCATGTTAGTTCAAGTTAAGGATTAAGAAAACTAAAATTATTGAATGCATCCACTACGGTGAGTAAACAGCTTCACTTAAGACGTCTTTTCTAATTTGAACTGTCAATTTTTGTCAGATGTACTTTATAAATAGAGATGCTAAAGGAGTGAACTTGAGAGCTTATTGAAAAGCGGTTGGGAATAAGCCGCACAAATTTGATGAACACTTACAACTGTCACACAGTGAATGAGCTACACTAAAAGACATTAAGATTAATTTCTTAATTAATATTAAGGTGTACCAAACGGGAGTCATATGAACCTGTTTATAATACTTAGTAAATTGACAAAATAATAAATTGCTCCTATAAATTTTTTAAATATTATCACAGTTGGTGGGTTCCAAGCAAGGCGGTGTAAGAAACCTAATTGTAGCCACTACCACCTACTATATTTGCTGCCATACTGCCAAGCAGACTTTCTTCGGGCATACCAAAACAGCTCATAAAAATAAAACAATCCAATTGGACAGCACGTAGTAAACGCGTGCTCACTATATATAAATTGTGTTAAAATGGGTTACTAACTTTACATTGAGTAGGAACAATAGGTAATATTTACTTGGCCAGATGGCAGCACGTGCAAATATGTAAGGAACTATGTAAGGTGCTATGTATAATTATTACCCGTGTGGCCAAAGAGCCCATCGATCGCTATATACGGTGTGCGTAACTCTCCAATTAAGCGTAAGAGCGCGTTTTCACAGAATATATGAACTGTGAGTAATAAGCAGTAGCCATCTTAGTACTGTCAGGAAAGTCAGGGCATTCAGAGGACATGTTATAATAGTATGTCGTAAGATGCTATGGTAATGTTTGCTGATGGTGTTTCACCCGGGAGCTCCCTATCATGCCCCTATGCACTTTATGCTGAGAATGCAAATTGGTGCATTTCAGTGAAATTACTGCTTCAAGTTACTGCAGCGATTGACCTTCGTGATAGGCAAGATACACATTTAAATCACATCTGCCTGGGCCTAATAATAGTGGTGTACCCATGCCAAAGTTACAACATGTTATTTCTATTAACGGTTAATGGTATAGTTCCAGAAGGGTCGATGCTAGGGCACCTGGTGCATAAGGTGAGCCTTACCTTTGTGCACCCCCCCCCCTTTTATTACATCAGGTACCTTTTAGAACTGGGTGCCCAAGGCAGCAGGCACGAGTGTGGGAAAAGCGAAGCAACAGTGGGGAAGAGGGCCCAGGTTTTTGTCTAGGGGTTTTGGGTCACAAATTATATATTATATACCGGATTATATATATATATATATATATATATATATATATATATTGCACCAATTAATAGTAATTAATTAGTATTTCCAGCATTCATGTTCATTTTCAAATTTTTCAATATCACATCTGGGTAATGGAAATTGTTGATTTTAACATAAAATCAGCCAAATAATTTATGAGAAACAAGAAAAGGCTCAATTCGGAAGAGACTCTGACTTTTAAAATTATTTTTGACAATTATCAAATCTGGGTTCTGCATCCCGGTTTAACCTTCGTCCCCCGACATTAGACTGCCGACATAAATATCTTTACATTTATATTGTCATATTTCTCAAGACAAGTGCCGCGGAGCGATAGCGCTCATCTAACGTCTAACTGCGGTGACTCTGTGGTGGAGTGCGTGGGATTCTAGTAAAACCCTGTTAGTCCCAAATGTCACATACACGCCGAAATCAGTGGAAGGCACAGGGATGGTATCAGGAACCTTCTCAAGGAATGTTCGTTGGATTGTTATGAAAAGTTGCCACGAGATGCGCTACGTTTAAGTGTCTTCAGATTAAAGATGGAAGCTCCCATCGTACGAGTAGCAACAACTATTTGCAAGATCAGAATAGTAAGCACTCATTCATTACTTACGCCAAGCCTACAGCGCGAAATAGAGAGCTGCCACCTGTAACTAATCTATCGCAGGCAAAAACTACACAGGTAAACCGTACCACGACATGCACTGGCAGTTGGCCACTGCAGTGGCATACGTTACATGTAACACACTGACAGTAACAGAATGCCATAGAAATTATACGATTTAAGGAGCATAAACCTTCTTCAACAAATTTAGCTTTTTGAAATTTCACTGTGACATTGTAGCCTCATACATTCCAGGCATTGTTAATAGTATTGATTCTACTAGCAAACCCGGCAGTCAAATTCTTTTCTAACAGTAAACAAATCCATGTTTATAACCCCCCCTTGAGGGTCAACACGGTTATCCGAACACTTACTCTTCGCATGTCAGCAGAAAGTACATTCATGGTCCTTTCATAAAAGAGTATAAAAATGCCTAGGTCACCCCTGCGAAACAAAAAGTTTTCATCGCTCCCGTCAGACCATGTCCTCAGAAAAATTCTAAAATCTGCCCTGTGCCCATTGACCTTTGACCTGTGACCTCCAATTTCGGCACAGTGATGGCTTTTCCTACCATGATGCTATACACCGACTATCACGAGCCTAGGTCGAGCCGTTTAGATTTTGCCGCAATTCTGCATTTCCTCCCTATACCTTAAGTTAAGGAGGAAATGTTCCCCTTCTTTTACACCTCTTGACCTTGACGCTTTGACCCCCAGCTCGACATCCCAACTCGTTTTCGCTCTTTCAGCATGCGAACCCATCACCTCAATTTGTGTCTACCTCCTCAGTCTCCGAAGCTCCCAC